ATGTCGATGACATACACATCACTTCCACGAGTTTTCAAGAACATATTTGTCACTTAGAACAAATCTTTGAAAAATTTGCACAACACCACATCACAATCAACAGAAAAAAATCACAATTTTTGAAAAAACAAGTGATTTTTCTGGGTCACATAATAAGTGAAAAAGGGATATCTATGGACCCAGATAAAATACAAGCCGTGATGAACTTCCAGCCGCCCAAGACGAAAAAACAGGTACAAGCATTCATTGGTTTCATAAATTTTTACAGAAAATTCATCAGGGATCTATCTCAAGACACCGGACAACTTAGTAAATTAACCAAAAAAGATGCAAAATGGATGTGGGGAACCATACAGCAGCAAGCTTTTGACAACATAAAACAAAAATTCCTCGAGGATATAATAATTCAATTCCCAGATTTCAAGAGAGAATTTCATCTGAACACCGATGCCTCAACAACTCACCTTGGGGCTGAACTCTATCAAATTACGGAAGAAGGACAACACCAAACCCTCAGTTTTGCCAGTAGGACATTAAAAGCAGCTGAGCAAAACTACAACACCACGGAGCTTGAATTGCTTGCAATAGTTTTCGCATGTAAAAAATTTAGAAATTATTTACTTGGACATAAGACCAAAATATTAACCGACCATCATGCACTTACATTCCTAAATACGTGTCAACTACTCAATGCTCGACTGGTCAGATGGGCTACATTTCTCCAGGAGTTTCAGCTAGAAATAACACACATTCCAGGGAAAGAGAATGTCGGTGCCGACACATTAACACGGTATCCGCAGTCACACACCGACGACGCAACAGCCAGCAACAAGATAATCATTATCAACAAATTATCGCTATTAGAATACAGCAAGGAATTAAAAGAACAATTCAAAGAATTCGAGGTGTTACAACAGCAAGATGAACACATTCAGAAACTTAAACAAAGGGTCACGCAAAGGACCAATCATAATCTCATGATACATCAGAACCTACTATTTCGTCAAGCGCCCTCGGGTGACTATCAGATCATGGTGCCAGAGATAGCAGTAAAACAGCTGGTGGAAGAAACACACAAAATATATGGCCATTGCGGGACGTATAAGACATATAAACTGTTGCAGCAGGACCACCAATTTAAAAACATGTATCGGACGATTAAGCAAATAATCAAAACATGTGATCTGTGCCAGAAGGCGAAAATAAGCAATATAACGGCTAGGGGACCAACGTTAAGCCTCCTACCCACCGAACCAAGGGAAATGGTATCTGCCGACCTAATGGGCCCGCTACCCAGGGGACAGGGAGGATGCAGATACATCTTGGCAATATTGGATGTGTTCTCCAAATATATCAAACTATATCCGTTAAAAAGAGCCACTACCGACACCATAATAAAACGACTAGTGAGTGAATACATACCCACCATTAGTTTGTTCAAGAAGATCCTAACCGACAACGGAACGCAGTTCACCAGTACTAAATGGGAAAAAGTCATGCAAGGATTGAAAATCACCAACCTGCACACAACGATTTATCATCCGGAGAGTAATCCAGTAGAGAGGGCAAATCGGGAAATTGGCCGCCTACTAAGAACCTACTGTCATAAGCAACATACAAATTGGTTAAAATGGTTAGATAATGTAGAATACTGGATCAACCACACTACCCATACAACCACTGGTTATACACCAATCTATATAATGTTTGGGGAGAAAACCAAGTTATCAATAAGCAAATTGGTAGTTTTTCCTAAACACGAGGACCTGAAGAAACCCCCCGACATTATACAGATTGTAATGAAACGGTCAAAAAAGCAAGCTGATCTGCGAAACGCATACAAAGACAGAGATAAACGATTCCCTCAGTATAACGTGGGCGATCAGATCCTGATCAAAGAACATAGGTTATCCTCCGCTGAGGATAAGGAGACCCATAAATTATTCCTGATCTACCACGGACCATACCAAATACAAGCAGTACATAATAATAACACGGTAACTATCCAAATCAATGGAAGTCATCGAACCATCAACTTCAAAAACATCAAGAGATACTACAAACCCGTGAGCGGAGTATCTCAAACAAATAATTAAACAAAAAAAAAAAAAAAAAAAAAAAAAAAAAAACAATATATATGTCGCCCAAAATAACTTGCTTGTGAATCCATGTAATAAACTTTTATGTAACACAAACACCTCCCCACTATGTAGGAACCAGAAAGATGTTCGTACAGATTCCATTGACCAAAATAAAAAGCAGAAAGGTCTTGCACAAAATGGAGGTAACCCACATCGACAAACTGCTAACCATCGAAGAAAGACGCAAAATAGCCATGTTCTACCGTCAGGAGGAGGCAAAAAGAACTAGATACAACCCGGAACCCTCATGGAGCCTTCCACCTACCATGCAAGCCACCCGAAGACCATCTGCCACCGGGATGACGTGGGATGATTTTATCGCACATTGGGAGCAAAGACCAGCACCATATCACACCCTAGCTCAACCACAGGAAGCAGCACCGACCACTGCACATGAAGAAAAAGAACAGTCGCCCCGGTCCAGTAATTTAAGTGAAACCGAATCAGAGGTTATCATCATGACGATAAAGCACTTAATCGACCGCCATCCAGAATCCCCAGTAGAGATCAGAAAGAGTATACTAAAGGTCGGAGCCTACTTGAAGGACTTTGAAAATGTTTCCAAGACTCGCCTGCGAAGACTGATCTACAAGGAGAAGAATCAAAGGATAAAGGGTATGAAACAACAATATCAACCATAACAACAGCAAACTAATAATTCACTACACCACAAACACACAGCGTCAAAATTGTAAAGTTTTTATTTTTATTTTTTTTTTTTTCTCTCACTCCAAAATCTTCAAAAAAAAAAATAATAAATAAAAAAGGGGACAATGTAATGAGACAAAACGGTGTGGCCATTAACGTGGCGCACTCTCGTTGTGATCATTACCCACGGTCAAACATCGCCCGCCGCGTAGAAACATCGACCGCCCAACCGCAAACCGCAAACCACAGATAGCGCTCCGCCGCGCAATGATTAAACAACGCATGCCGCCCACGGAAAACCTGAGTTTTCCGTGGGAACCAATAGAGCTCTCAAAACGTTACGAACATATTCAAAATCAGCGTTATTTTCACCATAATCTGGTAATCTCCAAACACTCTGAACAATAACCTGCAGTTTCGAATCACGCAAGGTGTCAGATAACATTCGAGACGGGACCAGCGAGCCTCGAATGGCATAAATACAGGCCGCTGGCCACCGTACACACACAGTTCTCCAGCTGAGAGAAGCGAGAATAGCAAGCCGGACGGTATTTGTTACCGCCGAGAACGGATGCTAATTTCGAAACTCTATTACAGCAATTCCTGCCCACTAGACTCAATGAGCCGGACGGTCTTTTTTGACCGCCGATAACGGACATTGTACAGTCTTTCCCGGCACTCCCTACGCTACCGACCAACACGTGTCGAGAACGCCGAGCCGTCGCCGCCGTCGTCCGATCAGTTGTTCGTCGCCGCCCGTCAGAGAAGGTCAACCGACTCCTGTGCCGCCTTCCGACCACTGTGCTGTACCCGTAACTCGTCGCCACCGTCTATTTGAGAACGCCGAGCCGAAGCTGCCGCCGTCCAAACCACGTGTCTGCCGACCTGTACGAAGTTGTGAACGCCGAGCCGTAGCTGCCGCCGTCCAACCATCTACTCACTGTCTGTCGAGAACGTCGAGCCATAGCCGTCGCTGTCCGGTCATTGACCTACCTCTTGCCGGGAGAGTTGAATTTGTTCTACACACCACCAGTCAAAAAAAACCAACATACCGCCACGCAGAGCTGAGTCACTGTTGTTTACCGAGAGTCGAGCCGTTCACGCCGGTAATAATCAATTATTACCGTGCCGCCGTGATCGCGCCACTGTACGTGGATGCTCATTGCCACCATCGTCCCGCCACATACCATTCTACAAACCGTGAGTTAAATGTTCATGCTGTTCCCCCCCAATATTTTATGTAAATCCCGTAATTAAAATATTTTTTATGTACACTCGCAAGAGTATAATATATAATAATTCAAAAGAAATACTGTATTACACATCACCAAATTGTATCTGTATAACGAATTATTACGTATGTGAAATAAACGTGAAATAATAAATTGAATAAATACCAACACGTTATTTTCCTTACAATGCTTAAAAAAGAAATAAATGGATGGTGTGGCTAAAAATATAATACTACCGCAAACTGCTCAAGATGCGAAAATAAATTCTGGTATGTTTAACCAACAGACAAAACTTGAGCCGATAAACAAGTAATAAAAAAAAATATTTTATAATTTAAGATAATACTAATTTGTAAATATATCTTATACCAGATACCTATATAAGAGTAATAGAGTATGGGCTATAAGTGATGAATCAGGTATAATTGATTTATAGATAATGCAGTTGATATATTTTCAAAAATAAAAAAAAGAAGACATCCTAATTCACTAGGTACTAATATTTTTGTTTATCAATATAAATATTGTAGTTTGTAGACTTTTAAGTTCTAACTGATAAAGGTAGGTATACAATTGTTTTTCTAAAATATTTGCTACCTTATATTTAAAAATGGTGTTATTAAGTTAATAAAAAGGGTAACATAAAAAAATGTAAGTAGATAATATGCGGTTAGTCCAAGTCCCCTCCCCAATATCAGCCTATAACTGGTACACATTAACATTTATGAAAATATATTTTAGCTTATAATTAATATGATATAGTTTACAAAGTATAAAGTAAAGATTGAGATTTAATAGGTGTATTATTATTTATTACTTTGCTGGCCAAATAATGTTTTAATACATTTAAAAACGTTCTGACAACATAAAACAATTTAAAAACATTTTCGTTTATTTACCTTTCTGAAAGGATATTAAAAATATGAATTCCTTGTTTAGAATGTTTATTTTCCATAAAAAAACGGAATATATTATTATTATGCTACGCATCGTTATACTGTGCTTGGCGTTGTTCAGGTCGCCGCCGGCCGCCATTGCAGCTCCCGTGATGATGGGCACCGACAGACTAACTGACGACCGGTACTTTCGATTCTGGCCGCAGCGATCGTCACCTCCCGCCAAAGTTGCCACTTCCACGCTGATGACCAATGATGGACCGACCAAAAAACAGGACTTTCAGCTCTCTTCGCAGCGATCAACGCCACCCGCCACAGTTACCACTGCCACAAAGATGACCAATGATGGACAGACCAAAAATCAGAACTTTCAGCTCTGGCCGCAGCGATCGTCGCCGCCTGCCGCAGTTGATGCTTCCACGCTGATTACCACCTACGGCCCAGCCAAAAACCAGGACTTTCAGCTCTCTCCGCAGCGATCATCGCCATCAGCCATAGTTACCTCTGCCACAAAGATGACCAAAGATGGACCGACCAAAAAACAGAACTTTCAGCTCTGGCCGACGCGATCGTCGCCGCCCGCCATGGTTACAGCTGTCACGCTGATGACCAATGATGGACCGGCCAAGAATAAAAACTTTCAACTCTGGCCTCAGAGATCGTCACCGCCTGCCACCGTTGCCGCTCTTAAGATGATGGTCACCGACGGGCCGATTGAGAACTTTCGGCCCTCGTCGCTACACAACTGTCACTGTGGCCACCGCGCCGAGGTGACCACGTCAGACCCGGCCGTAGACCAAGACCTAACCAGAGGCCATTACCATGTGCACTCGACCGAGGTCACGAAGCCGGACCCAGCCACGGTTTACACCAGGGCTAATTGTCACCACGACTTTGCGACCGCGGTCACTGATGCTGAACGTTGTCGCTGCCCACACCACCATTATCAACCACAGGAGAGTGCGCCAAACAGTACGCCGTCACCTGCTGTGTACAATATTGTAACGGAAGAAATTCCAACGAACAACCAGTGAGTTTGCTAACTTATATATTATACCTAGGTACTTATCGTACAACAGACTATAATCATGTTGTATTTAGTCGTGCTTGGGTCGTGGCAGGGTAGTTAGTGACTGCTCGGTAGAACATTTAGAGGGAGGTCCTTAAGTAGAGGTGTTGTAGCCCATTAATGCTATATTATAATTTATACAAAATCTAAACAACTAGATGTGTAATTAAAATTCTATTATTTCCTCTTCTTCTTCAAAAAAAACTGTTTTGTAAACATTGTAAAGCAGCCCCGTAAAATGTTTGTTTTCATCCGTATTTTTTCTTTATAAATGTAGTTTCGAAAGGATTCTTTCAAAATAGTATAGGTAGGATAGTAGGTAGTAAGATAGTATAGGTAAATGTTAGTTGTTAGTTAATTGGTATTTGTTACCAATATGTGGTAATATTGATAGGTAGGTACATTAGGTATATTAAAATTACAGCTGCACAAACCTTAGAAAAGTATTAATACACCTAGGTCTAAATTATTTAATCACCTGTGTTACCCTGCACGGTCTGTGATATTTCACAGAATATAAGTCAATAGATGAAATTAATTTTTTCTGTTTTGTGGTAATATTCCCGCAGCTCAGCACAAGACCTGACTATAAAAAATAGAAACACTAGCTGATAACTAGGGCTCGGAAGTTGTTGCATTTGCATGATTTTTTTGAACCATTAGATTTATTGCTAAGTAAGCTAGAAATTCATTTCAAGACACTACGAAAAACATATCAAAAGTTTTTAGTGCATATTTTTGCATATTTAGTGATTTTTAGATTTTAGAGCATATTTCTTAATTTTACAATTTTTTAAAGCATATTTTATCATTTATGGATATTCAATCTGAAAATTTGTAAATAAAAAAATAAATACATTCATATTCAGAGACCTTACTAGATATTCTTGAATCGTATTATTCAAATTTCCATTTGACATTAAAAACTATGTTTTTCCTCTATTGGTTAATATGATATAATATTATAATATATATAAATTACAACTACAGCTAGCTTTATCTAAAATAGAATATTATACAAATCTAAAATAGAAACAGCTGCTATCGAAATACGACGATTTTCTATAAATACTTTTATAGGAAAATAACTCAATGATTATTGACTATTGTTAATGGCATTTATAGATTTTAGGTATTTCAGGTATACAAATATAACTCGACAGAAGTGCATTTTTTTATTCAAGGAACATTTTTAATTTTTAAAGCGATTTTTTTATTATTTTTTTGTTTAAATTATGATTAAAAAATATAAATAATAACAACTTATATTACTTTGCTTTTTTTTTTATTTACAAATTTAAAAAAAATATTTGTACAAATGAAAATGTGTAAAATAATTAAATATAAGTGCATATTTTTAGAGCATATTTGTACTTTTTTAAGCGCATAAGTGCATGCATATTTAGTACTTTTTAAGTGTATTAAGTTCCGAGCCCTACTGATAACTGTAAGAAAAAAAGATAATCATAATAATATAATAATATTATAGACGTGGCTCACTGATATTACCGAAATAAAATAATCAGAACGATAGGTCACTTCTTTATTATTTTGATTTACAAATATATTATATTTTTTTTTTTACAATTGCAGGAATTACGACGAATCTGAAAAAGACTACGTCGACGATGACTACTACTCTCTGAACAATTTCGTACTGACTATTTCGTTGATGATGTTTGTGTTGTTGTATCCGAGCTGTTATATGTATAGTAATCGGAGGCCAAAAACCAATTCGTTTTACTTGCAAACGAATACATGCGGCTGTAAAGCAAAATATATTCGCTGTTCTAAATAGTTATAATGTAATAGTGTGATCATTTAGAACAGCGGACATATAGTTGGCTGTTGTATACCTGAAGCCATTTGTTTGCGAATAAAACCAGTTAGGAATTTTCTTCCTCAGATTTCTATATAATATAAAAAAAAGACTCGTAGATTATATACACTGACACAAAAATCTCCAACAAAATAATCGGTACCGAACTGTGTAACAGGTGGTAGTTTCACCGATCGAAATATCTTCAAGACCGTCTCGTCCACCGATGATGACGACAAGAGACGACGTACCTACTGTGGTAAACGGTAAGCGAACTTACTGGTCGTAAGCTGAAATATTTTCAGTAATCTTTTGAGGTTGATTATGGTGGTTCAGACAGCGACCATGTTTAGCGTCAGTGACCGCGGTCAACTAGCCCTGGTGTAGACCGTGGCTAGGTCGGGCTTGTAACCGCGGTCGAGTGCACGTGGTAATGGTAGTCAGCTATGGTGTGGAACACGGCAGGGTCGGACTTGATCAGTGGCAGTGACGAGACAAAATTAACACATAACGAAAGTTTGAAATTATCAGCCATACATATTATTGTAATATACACAATATCAGTCTTTACAATTTCATGTTTACACCTGGTCGTGACGTCAGAGATGGCCACCGACGGACCGACTGAGAACCGGAACTTCCGGTCCTTATCACTGCCACTGTGGCCGCCGCGCCGAGGACAAGAGGCCGGTTCTCAGTCGGTCCGTCGGTAGTCATCTCTGTATGAAAATGTAAAGACTGATGTTGACGTGTATATTATTTAAGGCTGATAATTTGATAATTTCAAACTTTGAAATGTTATGAGTTAATTTTGTCCTCGTCACTGTCACTGTGGCCATTTCCGACCCAGCCGTGTTCTACACCAGAGGTAGCCATTATCACGTGCACTCAACCGCAGTCACAGAGCCGGACACAGCCACGGTCTAAAGCAGGGATAGTTGTAGACCGCGGTCACTGACGCTAAACATGGTCGCTGTCCGAACCATAATCAACTGTGGTAGGTATGTCGTCGTCTTCGGGGTGGACAAGACGGTTCTTAAAGACATTTCTCCAGGTGTTATTTTGTTGGAGATGTTCGTGTCAGTGTATATTATAATATACAATTCTTTATTTTTATATTATATAGAAAATATGATTAAGAAAAATCCTAACTGGTTTTATTTGCAAACAAATGGCTTCGGTTGTATACAGCGAACTATGTTCACAGTTCTAAATGATCACACGATTATATTATAATTATTTAAAACAGCGAATATATTTTGCTTTACAACCGCAGGTATTTGTTTGCAAGTAAAACGAGTTGGTTTTTTGCCTCCGATTACTATACATATAACAGCTCGGATACAACAACATAAACATCATCAACGAAATAATCAGTACGAAATTGTTCAGAGAGTAGTAGTCGTCGTCGACGTAGTCTTTTTGAAAATATTTGTTAAGCAAACAATGTTTGATGTTCCTAATTTTGTAATTTTTGTAAAATACTCAATTGCTATATTGTTTATGGTTTATTATTATAATAAAATTGTTATAGAAATATTGGCAAAAACTTTTTTTATTTTTACAATCTGTGTCAATAGGTATTCAGTACATAAAATATTTTTATTATATTAGAATTAGACACAATAATAATATGAACTTCGAAGATATATATCTTATGGCATATATACAGAGTGTCCCGTGAGTATATACCCATTAATCGTAGAGGGGGTTCGCCGTCAGGACAAAAATCGGTTTCTTGCCATTTTACCTATAAACTAAAAAAAATATTAAAAATCATGAGATTATAATGAAAATAAAATGTTGAAAAATCAAAATGTTCACAAAAATGAACTTTATAATAAGAATAATTTAAGATTTTTTAGTTGGAAACAATATTTAGATACATATCTACTACAGGCACAAGTTTTGTTAAATTAGCGTTTAAAGTTCAAATGTTGACAAAATGCATTAAAATCTAGACAATTTGAAAATTATTTTGTCCTTTTATAAATTTTTAACTGCAAAATCATATTTTTACCCCAATAAGTTTATTATATAGTTTAGAAATAGCAAACATTTCAACATTTTTAAATTACCTTTAACTTTTCAAAATTTAAATTTTTAAAATAAAACCATATAAATACTATTATAAGAAACTAATGGGCGACCTTCATAACCTCCACGTCCATTTTTCGTCAATATTTTGCGTCGCGTAAATACAGGCTAGTGAGCAATCTATAGTATTTAAAATCAATGATATAATTAACGACTTTCCCTCAGAAATATTGTCACAATTCAGTTTTTTAATAGGTTTTTGTACTCTATCTAGAACCAAAATTGAGCGAGTTCTACTCAGACTGCATAAACGCGTTTTTTCTTTATATTGTACCTACGTGTACGTAACACATGCGAGTGTGGAGTCCTCTTAATAATTATTATGTTATCGAATCAGTTTTTTATCAGTTTTACTATATTATTATTAATAAACACTTCAACAAGCTGGTAAAATTGTATGCGGTTAATGTATGCGATTTGTGGAAATTGTGTCTGTATATTATACAGGCTACAGAGTGCCTATTTTGTACGCCGTATACGAAAACAGTTGGAATACGAACAATTTGGTTTGATTTTAAACATGAAATTCCAATTATTTGGTATTTTCGGTATCATCTTTCGTAATGAAAAGTCTAAAACTTATCGTACGTGTACGAATTGACTTCCATTCGTACGTTGTTCGTGGGTACTTATATTTTTCGTATGGATCACGAATTGGTATTTTGTGCGTACGAAACAAACGTTCGTTATGGTTATTTGGTAACTTAATTCGTACGACGCTGGATAATCATTTGTACGACTGCTAGTTTTAGATTCTGAGCGGAGCGATGAGTCTATTGATTGTACAATGATAAGTGTTTTTTTATTTTGTGTGTCATCACCTTTTAGGATAGTGAAATTGTGAAAATGTTTAGATTTCCTTCAACGTTATATTTTCTGATAGGAAAATGAATCTAAAATGTCTAATAGTTTTCAAAAGCGCAGAGGAAAACAAGGAAAACCGGTAATTTTTACGTAAAATCGGTTTTCGACAAAATCGTTTTGGTGTAACTCAAAAACAAATGACCGTAGATACATTAAATTTTATTTGTTTTAGAGACTGTTTGCGGACATTTTATCAAGTTTTTTTAGTTTCTTTTTTCTATGAATGTCAATAAAATTTTATTTGTTGGGTAAAAAAACCTGAAAATGTAATACAAGTCTCCTAATATATTGTTACAATGACATTTGAAAAATATTAAAAATCCATAGTCACTATTTTAATCATTTAAAGTTTAATTCTTGACAAAATACAGAAAAATCACGAAATTTACAAATTATTTTGAGTTAGAAATACAAAAAATTTTATCATTTTAAATGTAATACAAGATTCCTTATAAGTTTGCCTACCTTTATCAAATAAAAAATGTCTACAAGAAAGTCAAATTAAATTTTTATGAGCGTTTGAAGTTCATATTTTTACAACATTGGATATTCACTCGATTTCTCATGTAGCGATTTTCTTGTAATTCTGTGATTGTGAATTCTTGTGATTTTTTTGTAATTCAAGAACGAAAGGCTGTAGATACCTACATGAAATTTTCACTGGGTTTATATTAGCATTTTCTATACACGACAAAATTTTCAAAAAATGTTGACTGATATATTGTTACTATGCAGTTGAAAAATATTAAAAATACATTGGCGCAATTTTTAAAGCATTTAAAGTTCGATTTTTGACAACATTTATCAAAATAAAAATTTTATAATAATTTTGAAGTTTTAAGAATTTATAAAATGTTATATACTTAGTAATAGTATTTATAGTAATATCATAGGCTGACTGACCGTCTTCGCTCAGAATCGTTTTTCTTATACAATGATATTATATCATTGAATTCAAACTTAACACCATCCATTACAGTGACCCATTTGTAACCTACTGTACAGCAGAGTAACATCCACTTGCCCACATTTTATTTCTTGTAATATTAAAAAAAAAGTTACCATAAGTAGATAAATATATTAGGGAAAATTTAGATAATAATAATAAAGTAATGGGCATTTTTCTTGATCTGAAAATAGCATTCGATTCGGTAAACCATAATATTTTAATCAATAAGCATGAATATGCTGGTGTTTGCGGTAAGGTACTTAATCTATTCTCACCTTTTTTGGTTGGAAGATATCAAGCTGTTAGAGTGGATAACGATTTAAGTAACTTTTTACCAATTAACTATGGAATCCCACAAGGTACAGACGTACAGTGTTAGGACCACTATTTTTATAATTTATACAAATGGTTTATTTGGTTTAAATTTAAACGCTAAAATAATTAGTTTTGCTGATGATACCTTAATTTTGGTTAGTGGTACCTCAAATAATGTAGTTAATATACTGGCTACGAGCACCTTGGAAACAATTAATACCTGGTTTGAAAATAATTTACTTGAACTTAATATTACAAAATCTAAGTATATGTATTTTGAAATTTATAATAACAAAAGTTTAATATATCATTAGATTCTTGTAAATGTGATGAACTTATGTTGACTCAATTAAATACCTTGGGGTGATTTTTGATAGAAACTTGAGGTGGACTGCACATATAAATCATGTGGTTAGTAGTTAGTATGATACGAAAGTCGTTTTATAAATTCAAATTGTTAAAAGATATCCTCAACACCAAGACCTTGCTTACAGTCTATTTAGCACTAGTACAATCCAATGTAAATACCGTAAGCCAATAACCTTTGTTGTTGAGGCTTTAAATAAACAAAAAAAAAAAAAAATCCATTATTAACTATGGTAGTTGTTTGGGAAAACGCATCTAAGTTTGCTTTAAATCCTTTTAACTGACTGTTGAAATTTATACTATTAAAACCGTATGATTTACATGTAGATGGCCTTTGCAGCACTTTCAATGTAAGAAACATAAATTTATTTTATTTTTTGTTTTTTATTTATTCTTCAAGAAGATAATGGACCCCACTGAACATGTTTATGTGGGGGCCCAAAATGGCTTGTATATATGGAATATCCTTAATTATATTTTTAACATAGATCTAAAAGAATATTAGTTACCCATCACATAGCTATCAAACATGCACGAAACAAACTGTAATTCTGAATATCCCAGTAATCAATAAAGAATTTGGTAGAAAAATGGTTTTTAATGTCGATATTTGTTTATGTATTAAGCTTAAAATTAATTTAAAATCATATAAAAATAAATATGATTAAAATTTTTTTTTAAAACATCAAATTATTAACTATGTTACATAATAATAATAAAAAAAAAAAAAACTTTTAGTTGTATTCTTATCATTATATTCAGTGGCGCACACTCAAAAATTAATTGGGGTAGCTTATTGAATCTGTTACTTCCACATTGGCTAATAGACTAATGGCTATAGCCTATAATTATTCAATAGTTTATTTTACATATTTTTAGACGTAGTAGAATTTTTATGTTGTAAATATTTTGGTGCTAGGAGGTCCACCCACCCACCTACCAAAAAATCAGGGGTAGCAACTGCTACCCTTGAACCCTCCAGTGGGTGCCATTGATTATATTACTCTATAATATGAAATGTTTATTCTATACCTATGCAATGCGTAAATAATAATAGAATATTATATGTATATTTAAATAATTTATGTAATATATTTGTGTTGTATTGAACCTGCTGCACCCACCACAAGCTAAGCTTTTGGGGCGGCGTCATTAATTATTTTATTTTAGTCTGTTATCTTTTTGTAAAATATTATATTGACAATAAACTATTATTATTATTATTATTATTATTAATATTATTATACTTGTATTTAGAAGAATTTAGATTAAGGGCGTTGGATGCGGCGATTTGGTGTCTTTGTCTAACACACATGGAACATAGGAATAACGACCTAAGCGACTGACAAAAATTAAGGTACTTCTAGTTGTTCGATTTAAAAAATGTAAAGATGTTTGAATTGGTATACAAGCTTACGTTGAATTGGTCAAAGCATATTTTTAATATTTTTTAATAAAATTTATAAAATTCAATATATTTATTCTCATTAAAATATTGCTACAATTGAAAAAGTACTTCGACCGATGCAAAGTAAACTTGTATACCAATTCAAACATCTTTTCATTTTTTAAATCGAACAACTAGAAGTACCTTAATTTTTGTCAGTCGCTTGGGTCGTTATTCTTATGTTCAACGCCCTTAACATTATATGTCTTATTGGTATTGGAAAATAACATTTAAAATATAGTAAATGATAATATTAAGTTTAAAGTAGGTATATCATTCTATAACAGCGTTTCCCAACCTATTTGACGCTACTGATCACTCGGAGAACTTTTTATAGATTGTAAGTACAAGTTAACTGTACTGTTTCCAGTACATGTAGTAAACTTAAATGGCTAAATAGAAAATAATATATAAATAAATAAATGTGTAATATATATAATAATATTGAATAAAAAATAAATATGTTTAGAATGAAAAAAAAAAACAATTTTTTGTTGACAATTATTTTATTCGTTGATTAATAATTAAACATAAGATAAATTAAAAACAAAAGGAAAAAATATATAAACAAAACAAATGGCATAATAATAAAACATTAACAGCAACTGTCCAAAAAGTTTTAAATAATTAGTTCTACTAATTAGGAAAAAATTCACATGGTTTTAAAAATTAAGAACATAGGAACCTTAGAAAGACAAATATACAACATTTTGTATGAAAGTTAAGCTGGGCAATATTTTAAGATCATATTTCGAGAAATAATCGTAATAATAATTGTTTTTTATTTAACATAAATATATTTTTTGGGGTGGGTACAGATATTTTATTTTTCAATGCTTTATTTATAGACCGTGTATAAAACGATAGAAAAAAATGTCTAGTAATGTGTTATGTTTATGTCACTCGATCTTTATTTTTTTTTAATTCTAAGTTATTTTCATTATTATCTTTCTACCTTGTTTCATTGATAGTATTAAGTTTAACTTAAACAAATAGCAACCTATATTTAAAATTTAATATTCTCGGAAAGAAAATTGCAAGAAGATAATCCAACATATTATATTCTTGAAAATAATACTATGCATTAATAAATTGTAAGATATATTATTTATAATTTTTTTTCAGAAACTTCTTATTGAAAACTGAGTAAAAACTATAGGTAGCCATTTGGTATGTTAGTTGAAACTGATCTTTCAAATAAGAGAGTAGGATAATTTTAAATTAAAAAATAATATAGTTAGTTAAAATCTAAAAATAGGGAGGGGGGATTAACAAATATTTCCCAATTTAACTTTAACAAAATCAACCTCTATATGAATAAAAAAAAAATAACAACAAATATTTTCTCAATATATGAGTATACATAATTTTAGTACTAAGTATCACAAATTTCTTTAAAAATTAATAACATTGAATATTGAATTATTATTATTAATACATTTGTTTTTGATCTAGTGAAATAAATAAATAAAAATAATAGGTACTCAATTGACAATTCTAACTAAAATACTTAATAAATAGAACTATTTTTTTTTTTTGGGAAAGGATTTTAAACTTTTTGGACTTATTCATCAAAAATATTCAAGAATATTATTTGGTTCAGACATAATACTTTGTGCTTCACAATAATATAATATAATAAAATAAAATAAATTATTAATCTCCTAATTAAATGAATATGACTAATAAAAGCATACAATTGTCAGATTATTCATTAATGTCTAAAATTAAATTTTATGTTAGAAAATGAAGAGAGATATAATTTCTGTAATAAAATACAAAAAATAATCAGGTCACATTACTCACATTTTAAATTATAAAAATGTATTGTTTAATATCCATTTATGGAATGCTTAATTTTTAATAATGGACCATTAATTTTTTTTAAATGCATCATATGATATAACATAAATGATAAATATGTTTTTAAGTTACTTAGTTGGAATCTAGGGAAAAAAAGCAATGAAAAAAAATCACGAAGAAAAAAAGCAATACATAAATATCCAATAAAAATTGGATAGGCAAGGTTATTGTCATTAAAATTGAAAAATATTTAGTTAGTGTTAAATGAAAAACAATATAATATTATTGTTATTTGGTTGTAACTTGTACCTAATCATCAGAACATTATGGTAAGAGATATAGCTGATACAAAATTAGGTAAATCATGTTCATTGTCTTTATATTCTTCAAAATTTTTGCTGAAATATTGTTTCATCAGCTGAAATTGTCAGTGTCATCCTACTTAAAAAAACAACATTTTGTACAAATAATTTTTTGGCCACCCATTTAAAATTATTTATGACTTCAAATTGGGTAGCTACTTTAAGGTATAAAACCACTGTTTTATATTGTATTTAATTTAATCAAATTATTATGTTTTTCAATTTTAATATATTTAATACAAATATATTGCTTCTTCCCCATATGTACTTATTTATTTAAAAACACTAAATATCATTACTTAAAATTGTTTAGGGTATTCACTTTTTGTTTATGAAACAAAATGTTTAAACATACCATCAGTCTGTCAATCAACATCTATTTGCATCAGTCAATTTAAATTTTTATCTAATATAGATAAATTGTAATTTGATGATGTATATTACTAATTAGTATTCACAAAAGTAAAAATTAGTAAATTTATTTGACATTAATAGAATAATTATTTTAAAAAAAAAATATCAAAACAATTAAAAAATAAAACAGAAAATAAAAATGACAAATAATTTAAATTAGAATAAAATGACTTAACTGTTTTTTTTTGCAATTGTCGGTGAATTATCTACTGAAAAACTAGAATTAATGTGTGTAATACTGTAGTCGCGGCCCATCATCCATTTCCAAAAACTTTTGAGTCTAAAAAAAATGTAGTTTTGATTCAATGAAGAAGAACAAAATAAATAGGTACTTTTCTGTTATACCTAGTACAGCGAGTCTCAATTCTGTTATCTTGACTACCTAGACGACGCCGATTTAGATAAAATCGATAGTAAATCATAGACATGGATATAAATATAAAAATACTTCACCGATACAGTTCATATTTTAATCGTACATATAGACCTTCTTTTTTTTTTGTTTTGTGATAATTTTGATGATTTTATGTTTTATATATTATAACTCTCCACTACCTACTGTGATAATTTATGTGATAACTGATAATAAACGTTATACTAAAATACATGATATTATATAAATGGCAATTCATGTGTATTATGTAAAAACGGAACTATCGGGATAGTAGGTACTATATAGTAGTCGAGTTAACAGAATTGAGTAGTCATGGTAGTCGCGGCATCGAGCGGTAGTAGGGATAACAGAAAAGTACTAATAAATATTTTTGTCAGATAATCTTATAATTAATAAAACATTATTTTTGGATTCCAAAGCTGAGCACAGAAGCAATAACTTATTTTATTTGAATTTATGTATGTATGTTTACAACTTTTTAGGTAGGAGTACTTTAATAGAATCATTTAGGTAGTTCCTAAGTCTTTTTATTTTGTAAAAGTAGTTTTAGGAAAATTATTTCTGAGGTACTGTTAATGAACGGTCTCCTCTAATGCGATTCATGTTTGTTTATCTTTATCTATGTTATTCTTATTACTTATTGTTTTTATTTTGTAAACAGATTGAATAATTTAATATTTAAATGAAAAATAAAGGAAAAGAAAATTTTAAAAATCCTAAAAATTTTTAATTTCATTTAATGACCTAATTTAAAAATTCCTTATCTTAACTAAGCTTTGTTTATAATGTGTTGATTTCATAATTAATATACACCATTATCATGCATTGAGATGAACAAAGTAGTATCAATGCTCAACACCCAGTGTATTATGTCAATTATTTTAATATGTTACCTTGATAATAATTCTTTTCGTACAGCTGAAGTAAACTTGTTAAATAAACAAAGTGTAGCAGCCGAAGCAAATACGAAATTGTACAAAGCAACAATTGTGAAATTTCCAAGCCATTCAATTCTTCCATAATCAGCTAATAAATCAAAGTCTGTAATTCCTAAATAAAATAAAAATAAATAAAATAATAATGGTATTTATATTCTTGATTATTGAAAATACTTACCTAGAATTCTAGATAATAATGGTAATGCAGAGCTTAATATAAGCAACAAAGTACAATTGCCTACTATGTGTGTCAATGGTGTTTGTTTAATATGTGGACGGTATGTAGAGACTATAGGCAATGAATATAAACCAACACTTGAGGCCACTAACATGTATAAAATAATGACTATTTCCAAACCAGCCCCAAATGGTCCTAATTTGGATAGCGAACTCACACCTAAAGTAAATTGCTAGGAGAAAAACAAACATTTTCATATTAATAAAATCAAAATTGTTTTTTTTAAATATTGTGATAGAATAATTTACTTCAGCAATTGAATACATTTTTATTTAGTGGGATGAAGGTATTTAGGATGAACTATTAATACTTATTTGATAAAATAATCTACTCACTCTAGTATTAAGAGGTAATGCTTTTATGCCAATGAGTATCAAAAGTAAATTTTGGACAACTAATAACACCGTGACAACAGTAAGTGCTAACAGCAATAGCATGAATGTTGGATATAAAAATAACTTACGAAATACCGATATTTTTCTTTGTTTTTCTATAATATATAATAACAAAGTATATATTTAATATTATATATCCATTTAATACTGTGATTTGTGAAAAAAAATGTAAATATTAATTAAACTTACCAAGTACATCAAGTCTTTCTTGATGAATTGATAATCTATCAGTTAGTCCACGTTTTAACTTTCCATTTTGCAATGTCCATAACTCCTTCTCTGTACGAGTTATATTTTGTTTTTTTCCTTCCAACATAGGTTCTGGTGACATGTATGTTAAACCATTTATAGTTACTTGGTCCAATCTAAACAATGTTTAATTTTTTTTTTACTAAGATATATTATATTTGATTTCTTATGAAATGTCTAACGAAACATTAATAAATTAATTTTACTTATGTAAAAAAATTAATAATTATTTATTCTGCCCAGCGAAAGAAGAACAAACCAATTCTGTGCATCCCAAAGCAACACCCTGCCTTTAATACTGGTTTCACTATTGCTGGGTGTCCCATTAGGATGCGCAGAAAAACTGATTTTTGCCCAGCCGTGACATGTTTTCTCGGTGAACAAAGTATAGTTAAAAATATGTAAAGTACCTTCTAGAGAGACAATCTACTTCAAGCCTTAAAATGCTGATTTCTTCATCTGTGGTTTTTTGTAGTTGTGGCTTAATCATAAACCGACTTAGAATGGTAAACAAGGTAGCAAATCCAACTGGAGTACATACTTAAACAGAATAATGATATTAAAAAAAATTAACAAATAAAAGAAATCTAAGAACAAAAACAATAATTACTTAATAGCATAAGTACACCGATGAATGAAATGCAAGAATATAAGAATGGTAGATAGTTGTTCCATAAATCTGCAAGATAAAAGTCATAAAATAATAATAAAACCATAAAAAAAAATAAATGTGAAACACCTATTGTAAAATTATATATGAACTCACTGAATAGCATGTAAAAAAGAGATTGCTCAGTATAAAAAATTGTGTACAGCAAGTACGTTAATACAAGAACAAATATCGAAAGTAACAAAAGCACCGTACATGTTTCATATACTCTTGCTTTTAAACCCTGGGGAAAAAAAAAATATTTAATTATACCTCTAAAATTAAAAAAATTAAATATTAGTCATTATTACTTTTCGATGACCAGGAAATCCTTCAGATTCATTGAATAGAAATGCAAACGGTAAGAACACAAATAAAGATAAATTTGAAAACAAAAATACCAAACTCCACAGACCTAATTAAGAAACAAATACAAAATTTCATTAATAAAAATTAATAAATATAAAGTAGCTAATCTTTAATTATTAATTACCGTGTATAAGTGAGTGATTTAACCATTGAACATAATAACTGGAAGGATATAAAGACAGCACTTCATTACTAGCTATCGAAATAGGTAACAATAGGGCTGCACCGACAGCAACTGCCAGTGCGATAGTGCAAAGTAACAAACTGAAAATCAAAAACCAGAAATTGGTTCAAATTTTAATCAACACTTTTGTATAGAGAATTTTAGTAAGTTATATATTAACCTATATTTATAAACTGTAATATCATCTTCATCTTGAACAGAAACGACAATGTTGTCCCTTTTTCTGTAATGATTAATAATGGCATAACTGAGCGCCAGCAACAAAACAAATAGCAAGAGAAAAATCTGAAATCAAAAAATAAAATAAAATTAGGTAGTTTTTTATGAATTTTCTTTTTAAACCAAAAAATTGAGACAGTACTCACTATTTTCTCTCTAACGTTATTATAGAACAGTTCTTCTCGTTCGTCTGGCTCATCTACATCGTCCATACTTTGGAATAATTATGTTGCGTACAATATTTGTGCACTATCCTCGTTGAGCTGTGTGTGGTTCATGCTCACTAATCTAATCTTGATTCGTTGTTGTCGTCGGTGATGAATACGTGATGAATATATTCATTAGTAGGTCCTAGGTACATACATTTAGTCATAAGAAGAATGATACAAAATCAGTCAATAATAATAATTATGAATATTATTTAGAACGAACAGCCTTGGTGGTGACACGTCGGAAATTATTCTGTTATTTACTCGTTGCACAGTCAACGGTAGAAAAATAAACAGATCGTTAGAAAACTGACAATAATAATATCGACAAATCGAATAATTTCCACGACACACTGCGGTAGACGACGATGTTTGACTAAATGTGAAACGACTGAACGACTAGTAAACGACCACATACAGTAAACGGTAAACACAGATATCTATGATGAAATTTGATACCAGGGTAATGTATTTAGGCCGCTAGATGACGTGACACGTATACAAACGAATTTTTTACGACTATCGGGGCCATGTGCTTTTGTTTCACATTAATATTTTGTTTTATATTTCGAATTTTCCAATAAAACACTTTTATGAGCGATAATTATCGGCGATAAGGACCTATACGGTAGTATTATTTTAAATTGAAAATCGGTCACGGTGATCGACGTCTACGTCATGTACTCATGTACGAACTAAGCTTGTATAATATATTATGTAGATATTTAGGTAGCCAGGTAGGTACCTATATCGGATATCCTGTCGACCAGTGGTTCTCAACCCACGCGTGTTGGCGACCCAAGATAGTTATCCAATTTGTATTGCGACCATTTTGAAAATAATGTTCTATGAGGGGCTATCCAACCACCCGACCAACATTATTTTTTAAATTACTAAAACTAAAAGAAACTATTAATCATAATTTATTTGTTTTTTTTTATTTTTACTTAAATTAGGTATTTAGGTACTTACATTAATAACATTTTTTGTACCTAACTAAATGTTTGGCAACCCATTCAAAATTATTCAAGACTCGGAATTTCAGGGTCTTGACCTTATGGATGAGAATTGCTGCTGTAAACTCTAAAGGCATAGGTACCTAACCTACTCATAGGAGCAATTTCAACTTTTGACTTGGGGGGGCTGAATATATTAAAGGCAAGCAGACCATTGCAATATAGCATATTCAAATCGTATTTCCTAGGTTTTTTTTTTTTGGGGGGGGGGGGGGTACGGCTAAGTTTGGGGGGCTTAGCATCCTCAAGCCCCCCAATTTTCGCCTATGTACCTACTTTAAATTAGCTACTTAAAGACATTTTTTCGAGATTTCTATGAGAGCATTTTCAAAGAACGGTGTAATATTCGTAGAGTTTGTTTTGAAATCGTTAAATTTCGAGTTTGAAATAGTTGATTAAAAGTTAAAATGCTCTAAAATGGTTATACAAGTTATTTATAATTGTATAAATACTACATATTTATTCACAATTATTTAAGCATGCGCTCACTCCCCTTTTATCCTTTAATAATGCATCTATTCAAATTTTGATATTTAGAATGTATAAGTTTAGGTATTTAAATAATACTATATTTTCAAATAGGTACTTAATACTTATATTATTTTATATCATTACAATTTAAAGGTCTTATAGTTTGTACGTCGTAGAGATACAAACCTCTTTTTTCAAATCGTATAACAGCCTTTTCTTATATTGTAATTTGTTATGCAAATCATAATTTTATCCTTATAGACTAGGTATAGTACCTACACCTACGTCCTACGACCTACGTAAAGTGAAATAAATCAAAAGCAAATTGTTTGAATTTAGATAGGAAGGTACCTCATATATAATTGTTCAATAAATAATCTAATTAATAATTCAAAGTAAAAAATAGGTTGGTTCTCATTTGAAAAATAATAAGCTTATATTCCATAGGACACTCCATAATAATGGTATACAAAATTGAAATATTTTTAATTATATGGTCCTTATACTTAAATAGGTACCTATCATAATTTTATTTAATATATAATTAAAGGAAAAAATCGGGCCTATTTGGTGAATCACTCTGTATATTTTACATGTAAATAAACTGTAAAACGTTTATAAAGTATCAAAATGTTTTGTGAAATTGTCTACGGATATAATTCTCCACGGTTGCATACATTAGATCAGTGGTCCCCAACTTTTTAAGTACCTATGTGCCCACCTTTTAAGTCGCTAAAGTATAGTAGTATAATAGTACTGGTTTGGCTTCCGACGTTTCCGTCCATTGTAATAATAATAATTTATTGTTATCAGTTATTACTTATTAACTTATTATATTTTTGTCCTTACTCGTATAATATATAGGTACCTAGTCAAGACGTGGGTAACTCGTACCTATGGGCTATAAATTGTAACCAACCTACAACCTACTAGCTATAATAGTATTATTGCATTACTGTATTAGTACCTATAGGTTAGTATAGGTTATTAATACTAATATAATATCCATAATCAATGGTAGTATTAGTATAGTACTACGTTCACATAATATTATACATTATTAAGTATTTACCTATTATAATTATATACCTACAAATTTATCCAAACAAAAAATATTATAGTAAATACCAAGATTACGGCCAAAATAGGGTTACCTACCAACATTTTTATTTATTATATACATATATTTTTTTTTTAATCTAGAAAATTATACAATCTATACAAAAACAAACTACAATAAGCATAATGTATGGTTTTTTAAAATTATGTGTATGGCTTGAGTGGCTTGAGTATCTTGAGGGAAGAAACCATACAGTGAAGGAACTTTGGCATGAATTTACATTATTTGGGTATTATTTGGGTATTTGGATATTATGCTTACTTTATAAGGTCATGGGCCATTGTCGTTTGAGTCTTCTGGGAGGATTTACTGGGATGGAGATAGATAGTAGCTTTTTCATAGGGGGATTGGTGTGATTTTAAAGGCGATTCCTAATTTTTTTGTAATACAGCTTTGCTGTATCAATGACTTTAGGAACTTGAAGATCTGTATGAAGAGTTCAAGAGTGTGGTTTGAAATACATGGTGGAGCATTGGTTATGAGTCGGAGGATTTTTGATTGGAACACTTGTATTTTTCGTGTGTTTGATATTTTTGATCTGCCCCAGACTTGAATAGCATAGAGCCAGATAGGTTTAAGTAGAATATTATAGATGAGAATTTTGGTTTTGAGGGATAACTTCGAGAAATTACAGATAATGGGTCTGAGAGAAGTCGTTGATTTAATTTTAATTTTGTTGTGTGGATATGCTTAGCCCATGTTAGACTTTTGTCGAAGGTTAGACCTAGATATTTGGCTGTATCGGAGCATGGTATTGGTTTATTGTTTATATGTACCGGAGGAGGTTGTCTGAGACGGAGAGCAAAAGTGGTATGTGCAGATTTGTTTTCATTAATTTTGGCGCACCAGAGGGAGTACCAGTGTGATAGGCCATTCAGGTGGCTTTGGAGAGTAGAAGAGACTAAATCAGGATCGGTGTGGGTGGCATATATTGCTTTGTCGTTGGAATATACGGCTATTTGAGTATCGGATCGGTGGGTTGGTCAGCCGAGTATACATTAAAAAGAGTTGGGGAAAGGACTGCACCTTGAGAAACGCCGGCTAGTATTTGGGATATGCTGGAGTGTTCGGTTTCTGACCTGACAAGGAAGTGGCGTTCATTAAGGTATGATTTAAAGAAAAGGTAATATGAAGGGGGTAGGAATGATTTTAGTTTGAAAAGAAGACCGGGGTCCCAGACCTTGTCAAAGGCCTGTGCAACATCGAGAAATACTGCAGAAGTGTAAAGTTTCTTTTCCAGAGAACAGGCAATGGTATCGGCTAGTCGGTGTATTTGGTGGATTGTTGAGTGATGTTCTCTAAATTCAAATTGAGTGTCAGGAATTAGTTTCTTTTCCTTGATGATTGGGAAAATTCTATTTAGTATTGGTTTTACTAAGAGTTTTACAAAGAAAGGTAGCAAACTAATAGGCCTGTATGAGGAGGGGTTATCTATAGGTTTGTTAGGTTTAGGGAAGAGAATAATTGTAGCAAATTTCCATTGAATCGAGAAGTATGATATTCGGAGTATAGTGTAAATGATATGTGTGATATGTAATATAGCTTTATTTTGAAGTCTGCGGGCTATTTCGGCAGTTATCAAATCATGGCCGGGTGATTTACCTAGTGGAAATTTTTGTTTGAATGATTTTACCCCATTAGGAGTGAATTTATTATACATAGTATTATATACCTATCAATTTATTAATTTTTTTCTTATTATCCTTACAAAATTGGAAATACCACCGAAAAATACTCTAAAATAATTGTTAATAACTAAAATAAAACATCAAGGGGAATCCCTCCCGAACTGCACTTTTTACCTAAACCAAAATGTTCAAATTACACTGGGTTTAAAAAAAAAGTTATGGTCAAATGACACACTTGTTTCAAAAAAGGTAGGTAATGTACGAATTAAACTCGTACCTACTAAAAAATGTATTATAGTACACTTTCTTCCATCTCTGGAGTGATCATCAGATTGTCAATTAATTTACAAATTGTTTAAGGTGAACTTGTTCGTGATTTAATTTAATTGTGTCTGCAAATTATACATTTATAAAAAACAATATGTATAATATTTGAGTGCCGAAGTGTTAAATGGCGTTCAAGCGTTGTATACACCGCGGGTGGTTTACAAGAGTGAAATTCGAACATAACATTTCTATTTCCTGAGTGCAACTTGACAAAAATAAGTGCTATTCGACCTCACCTATTTGCTGTTGCAAAAAAAAAACTGAAGATATTATATTTCTCGTGCTTGTAGTTTTAATTTTATTACCATATATTATTTGTGGCTTAATTTTGTAGAATAAATCGATTGTTTTATAATTTTGTAAATGATAAATGATAAAACACGACAATGAATCAAGATAAAATTGCTTATGATAGAAATGATCAAAAAATTGTAAATCTAG